GGTACACAAGTAAATTTATTTAGTTACTTTACCATTCTACGTTGAAACACAAAGAGCACATGCCTTCCCCTGACTGGACATGGCACACCACTCATGATTTCCTACCCAAAGCTGGTGGTCTGAAGGGGAAGAGTACTTGCTTGTCTGATGTCTTCCAGAGCAGTGCTTTAATTTGAGGAAGCATGCCCTTCAAGTAAATTGTGTACCACACCACATTTGTACTCATGCTGTTGGGTAGACCATAGAGCACACAGAACAACTCTCTTCACATCTCTATCAACTCTGCCTCTGTTGCAGTCTCTTCACCCAGAACAATGCACAGCTTGGGAAAGTCTGCAGCCATGACTTTCCCTTTGTTATACAAAGAGGAAACAGTGTCACAATTGGTCAGTGTATGCATGCCAAGAAGCTGTCCTGACTTCTCTCTTAGCTTCTTATCAATTTGGATGATATTGAGCAAGCTTCCATCCCGCCTCTCCAATAGAACTAGGCCTGCAAAGCTGCAATTCCATACAAAGTAGATGAGAATGACACACATCTGTGTTGTCACTGAGGATATGAATGACACGCTTTCCTTCATGGGTAGCCTTCAGAACCTAGCTCGCCACGAGGACGTCACCCTCTTCATGGTCGAGAAGCCCCTCATCCTCACCAATCATCAAAATGTTCGTCCCGAGATCACAAGTGCAGAGCAGGTGCAAGAGTCTTCTTTTATTGACTTTGTTCATGATGAGAAGTCAGTGTCATGTTGTGGGTCGTGCTTGAAGCAGTACCGTCTCATCATGCTCTCTCGTGATCTTTATGGGAGATACGGCTATACCGGTTCAAGGTAATGAGCACAATAGCAATCTAGCTATATTGCAGGAGTTGTTTCCTCATACTCGCACCTATAGTTGAGACGGTGCCTCCACAGGGCCAAACAATGTGGTACAGAAGCTGCTGCACATCCACAATCACAACATTTGGCTCCCTTATCTTGTATGTGATGGCTAGTTGTCCGACAAGATTCGACTTGTTACCTTTGCGGAGGAAGCCATACTTATCCAAAATCACTGTTGGTACGCCACAGTTTGTAGGTGAAGAGAGATTCAAGGCTTATGTTTTGCGTCTAGCCAAGAACTAACAGGCAGCTGAACAGAGCTTCAATGTCATATAATGTCTTAGATCTGATCTTGACACCCTTTTTTGGGGCTTCAAGTGTTTTCACTTTCTTGCTGCTAGGATTGTGAAAACCCTCTGGGAGGGATTCTTTGAAACTGTGTGCCACGGCTAGTCTGATCGCCAAAGCATCGGCAACATTGATCAACTTATCAGCAACTTTAGTATTTACAATGTTGAACAGCTCTGTTGACTGTCAATAGTGGATGTGGGTGCTTTGACAGCTCATCTGCCATTTGTTTTCAATCATCATGTCCAGTTTTGCCATTGTGTGCCCTCTTCTTTCTGTATGTGTCTTCACTGTCTTGTGGTAGATTCAGACTTCTCCTCAGGCTGGTATATGGAATCGAAGGCATGGTTGACTCTCTGACAGAAGGGATGCAACATAAAGTGAGCAAGCCACCTGCTCGTCAGTCAGCCGAACTAGGCCACCCAATCAAGAGTTACATCCATTTTCTTAGTTTATCCCTATTGCTTGACAGCCATATTAGATTTCTGTTGCTAGGCAATGTCAAAACTGTTTTTCAACATGAAAAATGAATCTGCCACACTTAGAAAAACCCATCTCGACACAAAAATCATCCTTCTAACATGCTTCAATCAAAAGTTATGTCCATTTTTCTATTCTCACCCATATCAGGCAGCAACCATCTAGGATTTATGCAACTTCTGAGAGTTGCCCAAAGTTGCCAAAATGGCATCTGATTGATTCTGCATCTAGGACCCCAATGGTTCATGATGGGGAGGTTTCTCAAGATGTAGTAATTTGTTGAAAGTTCTTAACTCCTGACCAAGATGCCTCACTGACTGTTATAAACAATCTCTTCACCACTGGGTACTTTATAAAGTTCCTAGTGTGACCAAATTCTGAGCTATTTTCAAGGAATTAGATTATTTAAATGAATAAAGTGTTCTGCTGTTGAACTATCATACCCTATGACATGGGCTGGTATTGTCAAGGAGTAATCTCGTGGGTCACTCACTGAGAACCACAGGTCATAAATGGTGATAATTTGAGACTTACCTGGCCTTATGAGAGATAACTACCATACTGGATGTAGACATAATCTCAGGTTAGAGCATATTATGTACAGTATTTCCTATTCACTTTTGAGGTAAAGAAACCTTTTCAACATCAATAATTTTTTAAATAAATCCCCAATTTAACTGAGACACAGTACAGTTAGGAATCCTAAAAAACAAGTAACCTTTGATATTTATTTTCATATAAGTACAGTAAATAACCCACAGTTTCCTTATAATACAGTATACAGTGACCCCTCTGTTAACGAACTCAATCCGTTCCAGAAGGTCGTTCATTAACCGAAAAGTTCGTTAACCGAAACCATTGTTTCAATGGGTTTTTGGGTAATTCGTTCCAGCTCACCGAAAATTTCCTAAATTCAACAAAAATGGTAGAAAAGTTCACTTACTTTGAGGTGTGTATGTAGAAGGCTCCTGGATGATGATGATGATGATGATGATGATGATGATGATGATGGGATTTAGAATGGGGTGGAGAACGAAGAGAAGGCATTGGGGTGGAAGAGAAGTCACCCCATGGTGCCATTTCACCCATAAAATTTTAGCTCTCTTGGTGTAATTCAAGATTATTTTCTTTAAATCAACACTGCACTGCATTATATATTGTCAATATGTAAAATATATTTCAAAATGACCAATAATTTGCTTGGAAACACAGAAAAAAAGCGTTTAGTTGAAGAGAGTCTCAAGCCAGATGTTACTTCCAGTGAAAACAGAGAGAGACTAACGCCTGTTTGCTGTGTTAAGAGGATGGATGCCGCCCATTAAACTAGTCACTTTACCTTCAATTATGTTCAATAATTGTTAAAATGACTAAAAACTTGAATATTAAACTTTTAAAATTATTGAATAGTATAAACTTCTTGATATTTACTAAAATAGTAAGGAATTTAAGCCCTAGAACTGATTAATGTATTGGCGGACTGATACTAAAGCTGGTTGCCCGGTCAGTGCAAGCGAAAACATGTTGAGGTCGGTTCGTAAGAAATTCGTTAACCAAATTTTTGTTCGTTAATCGAATTGAAGATCCTTATGGAAGGCAGTTCGTTAACCGAAATTTCGTTAACCGAGGCGTTCGTTAAACGAGGGGTCACTGTACAGTTATAAACCAAGAGTCTAAATATAAATGAATACATTTTTTGACAAGAGAGACATAGTATCTCTATAGCTTACAGTCTGTGCTTAATATCTTTCATGTTTGAATCTGACCATGGCACCCTTAAGGAGGACTTTCATTATAGATTTATCACAAATTAATTAATGGCTACAAAACTTTCAGTAGATCTGAAAAATGTCAAAAGCAAAAAAGATAAATGTGACTGTGAATAAAAAATGTCAGAATGAATTTAACTCAGAACTAAACACAACAGTGTATGTAAAACGTAGCACTCTACTGCCTTAGTCAGCATTTCCTATCTTCATAGAAAAGTACGAGTACTCAATTAATTATGTACTCTACAGTACATCATCACCTACTCAATTTCCTCTTATATTCATGCATGAGGACAATAGACTCTACACCAAAATAAATGTTGTCATATACAGTACTGTACAGTATTTCAAATGAATGAAATTGTTTAGAAATATATCAACTTTATTTCAGGAAATACAATATCAACTATATTATTGCTTCATTCAATATGTTTTCATTCATTGTACTGTATATCAAATTGATACTTTACTAAATTATACAATATTATTTTTGCATACTGTGGGTTATATCACAACTTTCCAACATTTAAAATACTGTATGACAGTGTATCACTCACTACCTTCTTCACGAACAGATATGACCACACCTTCATTTATTATCCAACATCAACACACGTAGAAACATTTTGCATGATGGTCTAGCTATCACACAGTTAGTTGACAAATGCTTCAAGTATGAAAAAGGAATGTATGGAAATAAACTGACTTATATTTCTCCAATGATCACCATTATAAGTTGGGAGATGCAATGTCAGAAAAAAATTTACAAGAATGTAATAAAATGACACTGCAACACAAATATTTGCATCCACAAAATTTTTTAAATGCAGTGTCTAATACATACATATATACATATACAGTGGTCCCTCGGTTAACGAACACAATTCGTTCCAGAAGGTCGTTCGTTAACCGAAACCATTGTTTCAATGGGATTTTGGGTAATTGGTTGCAGCTCACCGAAAATTACATACAAAGTAAAACAAAAATACAGTAAAGTACACTTACTTTGATGTGTGTACTGTATGTAGAAGGCTCCTGGTTGATGATGATGATGATGATGGGAATTAGAAGTGGGGACGGAGGAGAAAGGAGAAGAGAAGGAAGTGGAAGAGAAATCACCCCATGCTTGATGCCGTCATTTCACCCATAAAATTTTAAGTTTACTAGGTGTAATTCAAGATCATTTTCTTTAAATCAACACTGCACTGCACTATATATTGTCAAGATGTTAAATAAATTTCAGAATGACCAATAATTGTACTGTAAAAACGTAAAAATACTCTGTGTTCAAGAGACCCCACAAGCAAGATGTTTCCTCCACTGAACAGAGACACAAACTGAGGCTTTGGTCAGTGAGTGAAGTGGCTGATGGGTGCACCAAAAACTAGTTCCTGTACTGCAATTATGTTAAATAAGTGTTAACTAAAAATTTTAATATTAAACCTGAAAAATTATTGAATAGTACAGCCTTCTTGATATTTACTCCAATTTTAACGAGTGTAAGTCCTAGAACCGATTTCTGTATTGGCGGACTAATCTTCCAGCTGGTGAGCAAACCAAAGCATGTCGAAACATTTTCGTAAGACTTTCGTTAACCGAAATGAAGATTCTTATGGAAGGTAATTCGTTAACCGAAATTTCGTTAACCGAGGCGTTCGTTATCTGAGGGACCACTGTACTGTACATACATACCCTGCCATGCTAGTACTATGCAGGGATTATAATGAAATTTACACCACTGATATCCAGGACCAGCTGCTACTATCACAAGCTGTGAACTTCCCCACACACGGCCAAAATGCCCTTGACCCTATCTTAACTGACTTAATGGACCAATACCAATCTCCTCAACCAATGCCTCCTATCGGGTGTAGCACACACCTATCAGTGTTCTGGTCTCCAGCTCCCACTACCAGCCAAGTGCAGGGACCCTACATCATGACCCTACAGGCCAATTACTGACACTGCAGTGAGTCTCTTTGGGCAGTGGATGGTTCACCATCCCTGGACTGAAGTACTTAGCGTGGATGATGTGGACACCAAATGGATAAATTAAACCACCACGGAAGCTCACCACCACTTCTTCCCGGAGAAGTCTGTCAGATTACACCCAGCTGACTTGCCCTGGATCACACCTCAGATCAAAAGACTTATGCAACAAAGAGACAATGCCTTTTATCTCAATGACCACAACTGCTATAGATCCCTTTGCAACCAAGTCATCTGTGAAATAAACACGGCAAAAAAGTCCCACTACCCAACCAAGTTGCAACACCTGAAGCAGACCAACATCAGTCAGAAGTATGGTAAGCTTAAAGAACTCTGTGAACTAAACAATAACACACACTCCCTCCCCTTCCTTAGCCATCTCACTAATGGTGACATAGCTGAGCAATCAGACAACCATTTTGTAACAATTTGCCAGACGCTTCCTCAGCTTGACACAACATGTCTCCCTGCTTACCTCCCAGCCCCCTTTCCCACTGACTAAAAAGAAACTCTAACTAACAAACATTTTTTCAGGAATACATATGGTTCGCTAAGAGGGACCTTCCTGTACTTCTTTCTGGGTATCTCTTTAGTGTCCCAAGGGAGCTTTGACACTTGACATTGTGTAGAAACAACCAAGGGAGAGTATAAAAAGAAGCTCTACTCTCAATAGCAGCCAGCTAGGAATAAGAATGAGTGATGTGCTGATCCTGGATTCTTATTACCCTAATAAAGATATGCCTTGGCATAAGTGTAATGACAGGGGAGCTCTGCTCACTTTAGGCCTCCTTGCTCCAAGAGGGCCAATTTTACACTCAATTACCCTAAAAAATAAGGCAAAGGATTGGCAGGGAGGAAAGGGTGATTGGTATCATGATATCTTGCATAAATGGGTAATAGGTACAGTCACCCACAAAAGTCCTGTCACTTCTCCTCCTGAACCACAAACCCCGAGATTCAGACTCGTGAAGCCGAAGCATTTATGAACAGAATAATGCATCAGTGTCTATTGCTTCGGGTTCATGAGTCTGAATCTCGGAGTTCGTGAACAGCAGGAGAGGAGACAGGACTTTTGTGGGTGACTGTACATCCTAGTTCAGAAGTAAGCAACCTGTATAATAAGAACTGTTCAGCTGTAGTGCATTTTTAAAAAGAAGCCTTTATGAACCTAAAATGCACTATTCATTGATAGAGCACTGGCTATTGCTGAAGTCATTGAAGACTTTGGAGCACAAGCTTGACGTACACTCATCTCCCAGCTATGCAGCATCATGGTGAGGCTACAGTGAGGAGGCATATTTTGCAGTCTTACTAGCATACTTTCTCTAATGCTTTTTAAGAAATCTGTCGTTTCATAATCAACTGACAGCAAGTCACACCGTGGAGGTTTCTCTGGGTATTTAGCAGGAACTGTAAGGGTTATGGGAGGGATGCAAGGTAGGTTGGGGTCATCAAGTTGACAAATGAGAGTCAGCTCATCACTTCCAGGTGGCATCTGGCAATCCAGATTGACTCTGAAGCGAGCATTAAGCCGAGCTACTTCACCTTGGACAATATCACTAATATTTGGTGTCTCTGGTGGAGGTTGAAGAGGGTTGTCTCGTTTAAAGTGTTTGACTGGGTGAGTGACGTAAGTTGGACCCAACAACACTGACAGAGCGGGAGATACTGTGCGGTGTAAAGTATGAGCAGCACATGGGGACTTTAGTACAGTGGTCAGAGACTCTTCCACATTTGCAATGCAAGTCTCCATATTTGGTGGCACCGGTGCTTCAGTCTCAGCATCACGATTAATTTCCAATTTCTCTAAAACTATTTCACACTTCAACAATGTTTCCATTGGCATTCGTCGTTGAGGATTTTGCAGCATGTCATGAAGCTGTTTCATTTTCTTTGTTTTTTCTGCATCATCATTTCCAATTCTTTGTATCATACGTCGTAAAGGAACTACATACTTGTGGAGTTGACGTACCTTCTCCCTGTATGCAGCATCTTCCACCTGGCTACTGGATATAGACTGAGGAGCTGGAGAAGGCTGCTGAGACTGACCAGGGGTGTTGATCATCCCACTTGGAGAAGGAGCTCCGAGGTGACTTGCACCTCGACCCATGCCGCCGCTGTTACCCCCTGCAACTGGTGAGGGTACCATGCTGGATGAGGGTGAGGGAGATACAAATGCTGGTGATGGCTGACTATTTGGAGCAGACAAAGGTGGGGCCGGCGAGGCACTAGTAGGTGTAGGTGTCCCCTGTCGTGCAAATCCAGGAGAGGGCACACGCGGTTGCATAGTGGCTGCACCCCGCCCTACATTATTAATTAACTGGCCACTAACTGGTCCAATCTGAGTTGTAGCACCACTTGGACCACCAATAGTCATTTGAATTTGATTTATCTTCAAAGGCTGAGAACCAAGTTGACTCATAGTCATCACAGGTGGCTTTTTGTTTACACCAGACATTTGCATCTCATTTAACCGCTGACGATTATTTGTTGGCCAATTAGCCATATCTGCAGCCTGATTTGGTATGTTAGCTGGCATAGGCTGACCAATTCTGGGTGCACCCTGCATTATGGTTGTGGTGTTTGGACCAGTTACAACTGGTCCACCTGGTCCTATCATCTGACTAGCCGTACCACCCGTCATCCTAGCACCAGGCCCTGGTTGGCGTGTTAAGACTTCAGCAAGGTGTGGGTTATTACTTTGTTGATTATTACTTTGAATCAAATCAGTCAAATGCATTAAAATACGTCCAATGAACTGCAGATATTCATCTTTCTTGGTCGCCCTTTGGAACACCTGCAAAATATTGGTTATTACTACATTTATTCCTGACTTACAGTAAATGACCAAAAAAAATAAAACCTGGAGTGTCAATTTCTAAAGAAAACTATCAATACATTGGCACAGAAAAGCAGCTCTTCTGAAAATAGATCTTTAAATGTAAGACTAACACAGTCCCTTGTTCACTGAGATCTGCTATGTAGAAAAACATATTCTATGACCATGGAGAAATGAATGAGATAAGTTCTGACCTGCTAAACACTATCCAGTGTAGCAAAGCTAAATTGGTTTTACTTGATTTAATTTCAAAATTTAATTTTCTGATGTTCGAAAATCTGTGTAACAAAAATTTGTTTAGTTATCGCTCAGAAATGTAAGAGAGCTGAACTTACAGAAAATGGGAAAGGACCGCTGAGGTCAGCAAATTATGCAAAAGTTTATATACAGGTTGAAAATCCCTTATCCGAAATCCTTGGGGCCAGAGGAATTTCGGATTTCAGAATTTTTCGGTTTTCAGAATTTTTTTATTTTTGTTTTTAATGTGTATTAGCCCACCCGGGCATAGATCTCTGACCCACATCAGGGCCTGGGGGGGAATAATAAAAATAATAATAATAATAAGAAGAATAATAAGAATAATTCATAGGTCTAGGTCGTGTTTCTCACTTTTGATCTTTTTTTCATTCTTGTATTTCTTTATTATTATTATTATTATTATTATTATTATTATTATTATTATTATTATTATTTTATTATTACAGTACTCCAGTATTATTGTTATTTTTATTAATTTTATTATTATACATTACTATTATTAATGTTATCATATTATTTTATTTTGGTGTATTTTTATTAAAAATGTTATTTACTATGAATAATTATTATTATTATAATTATTATTACTACAGGTTGTACCTCTCTAGTCCGGCATTCTGTGGTCCGGAAACTCCCGTGGTCCGGAACGATTTTAGTTTGTCCAATAGGTAGATAGGCATTTTTTTTTTTTCCTTATCTGAATTATTATTATTATTATTACAGGAGTATTAAATTTTTGCCCCTCAGGCCCCAATGTGGGTCAGTGACCTATGCCCGGGTGGGCTAATCCCCTTAACAAAAAAAAAGCCGCGGGAAATTAAGGTTTGTTTACATCCGGCAGTTCGGCTGCTCTCTCTCTCTCTCTCTCTCTCTGCTTGTCTATACAGAGTACAACATTTAACCCTTCAATATATATGAGCAGTAAATAAGTGTTGCTTTCATATTCTTATGTTGAGTAATGACGATATATTTTCACATGTGCACACTTACATACGAGCAGTCTCACTTTTTTTTTTACCATTAATGGTTAGCTACTTATATTGTTCCATTTATTAACATTAAATAACATTACAGGTACTTCAAGCAACCATATTCATTTTTTACATTAATTTTACTACAGCTAAACTCAGGGTCTTATTTTCTTCAGTTTTATATGTAGAACCAATCAGTCACTGGTTTCGTAAGCTTTAACATAAACAATGCCGGCAGCCGTCTCGTCTCCTCTAATATTCCACGTATTATTAATAAATTGTATTGTTAATTTTGCACACACGTACATTAATTCAATAAAAACAAATTCAGAAACATTAATTAAAATATATATGAACAGTAAATAAGTGTTGCTTTCATATTCTTATGTAAAGTAATGATGATATGTTTTCACGTGTGCGCATGAGCACTTACATATGTGATCTCTCTTTTTTCTTTACCATTATCGTTAGCTACTTCTATTGTTCCATTTTGCACACATAAACATTAATTCAATAAAAAAGACATTCAGTAATAAACAATAATAATCTTTTGCACATAAGAGAAATGACGCTGTTTACACGATTATGCACGTCGTCTGCACGTTGGCGGGCCGTTCAAACCCGTCGAAATTCAAGTTTCCGCAGTCAAAATTTTTATTTATTTATTTTTTTGTGTTCCAATAAAATACGTTAAGAATTAAAAACTCGCGAAATTTGAGAAGCTACTATACGACATTTAACCCTTCAATATGTCTTCAAAAAGACCATGATGCAGAGAAAGTGGTGCTAGTGCTTCCAGGCATAAGCACAAGTCACTATCTATCCAGGAAAAGGGTGAATTTCCATGGTCCGGCAATTTCCATGGTCCGGCAATTTCCATGGTCCGGCAATTTCCATGGTCCGGCACTGGTCAGGTCCCGAGGTTGCCGGACTAGAGAGGTACAACCTGTATTACATTCCGGCCCTGATGTGGGTCAGTGATCTATGCCGGGTGGGCTAATCCTCGTTAAAAAAAAAAACTTTCGGTTTTCAGAGCTTTTCGGTTTTCGGATAGAGGGTTGTCAACCTGTATATCCTTAAATTGTGATGTTATCCTTGATTAATGATTGGTGATTACTCTGGAATGAATTTTGAGTCTTAAATACTGTACAGTAGTTGTAACTCAATGAAGATTGATTAAAGTAAGTGAACATTTTGTGAAATTATTGTAATACATATTTAAATTTCTCAGTAAACAAGTGATGATATCTTTTTAAATGTTTATTGCAAGATAGATTGATGATTGTAGATCATGACAATATTATTAGCTACTTATAAATAATTGAGACTAATTCATAAATTGTGAGATACTGAGAGTGAACAGCAACTTGAAATTGTTAGTGGAATACCATAACACATGGTGAACTATTTACATATTGATCTGGACTTGTATTGGACCAATTTTTCAAATGTGTGATCCTTGAAATTTTAGTGATTAAGGCTTATGACCATCTAAATAATTAGTAGAATTATATAAATTTAAAAATTGTAGTTAAATATTTAACATAAGTAAACAAAGATTATGTTAATTATAGGAATACTGTACCTCGCTATTCACAACCCCACTTATCCACAATTGCTATTTTAACACCACTATTCACAAAACATTCCCCACTTATTCCCAAATATATGACACCCTATAGTAATATTTCAAACTGGGCGGGATAGCCAGAGCTCTCTTATTCCCAAGTAAGGTCTGTTTCATACACAAGCTTTTCTTTTCGTGCGTACAGACCCGCGCAGTGTAGAAATTAATGAAGTTCAGTGGGACACACAACGCTCGTGAAAATTCAAGTGAGGGAGACGCTCACTCCTTGTCTGTATCTGTACTTCATAACTGCGGCGGCATGAAAAAATATGTAGATCGTTCCATACTTCTTCGTACGACGAGTATGTTTTTCCTGCATTGTGGTGCATCTATGATAGGGGCTAGAAGTGCTTGTGATTATTTCTGTCAGATGCAGGGTGAACTGAAACATGAAAACCACGCCCGTGTGAACACATGCCTTCTCCTGCGCGGGGCAAACACGCTCGTATGAAGTAGGCCTAAGTAAAACCCGATGTAATGAACATGTGTGTGTGTGTGTGTGTGTGTGGACTTGGCAGGTTACCAACCACCGTTGCTACATCACCTTGGGCCGCATATTCAAAACACTTCACCAGTTACGTACAGTAGCAGAGATACAATACCGTAACTTACCGACTCCTAAATGTCCCATAAATTTCACATACAGTACTCAAAATTTAATTACATCCCCATAAGCAGTCCTTAACTCTAGTGTTTACCCTGTAAATTCAGTTCTCTTGAATGAAGGCAGTGCAGGAGCTAGTTGGCCAATCGTCTCTCAGTTAACAAAATCATCAACCAATCACAAGAGAAGGAGAAATCAGCTGAGATCGACGCACGTGATAGTTGCTAGACGTACTTCAAGCGTCATTAGTGAAGATGGAATTATGTTTGAGTAATATTTGAGGATAATGGTTAACCACTGACCAAAATAAGCCTATAGGTACTGTATATATATTTCATGTACAGTAGATCCATAATGGAAAAGTGGATAAGATAAATCTTGATCCATTTTGAGAGAGAGAGGTAAAATGGCATAACAGATACATCACATATTTTCTTATAATAAATATTTTTTCATAGGTTTTTGGTTTAATACAATCAGTAGTCATGCTTTTTTTACAGCAAAATTAGTGAAATGTACCTTACCCTAACATAACCTAACCTTTACCTAACCGGTAATTTTTCAGGACTAACCCGTGGGCGAAATTGAGCCAGATTTTTACTGTTTTCTTATAGTGGACACTGTTGTAGTTTGTGCAAATGTGTTAAAAATTGGATATTTCTAAAAATAACATAACTTAACATTTGTTGGTATGAAAAACAGACCTAACCAACCTTACCTAACTTCCTTACCGGGGGGCTGCCGACCCCCGGTACATTAAACAGAAAGAACTTACTATGATATGGTGAAATTTGGGGCATTTTCTGTACTTTAATTAGTACGGCCGCATCGGCGTTTATGCAGCCCAGGTGCCGGAGTGATTTATTGTGATGGCAGGAAACATCAAGCGTTGAGGAAGTCATGAAAAAATTTCTTTCCAGTCTGAAAACACAGGGACTCCCGCAGTGTGGACAGTCTCTATTTAAAGGAACAATGCCGTGGTCTTTAACAATTGAAGGGTCTCGTTGTCTTTATCCCTAAATTCACAATTTACAGTACATCCATATAAAACAGGCAACAACCTTCACGCGTCATGCTGAAAATGAAACTGCCACGAGCCCGGGGAAAAGCGCCGCAGCAGAGCGCGTCCTCATTACCGCTGAGAAGACAAATTAGTGCGCGCCTGGGCACCTAATTATCTACAAAGCGAGACATTTGCACAAGAAAAGATTACCATATCAGAACTCACTGTTGAAAATAAAGTAAGAATATAAGCAGTAATACAAATAACTCGTTTACGGGTTAGTCCTGTATATTAACTGCCAAATTTTACCTAACCTAACCTAACCTAACCTAACTTAACCTTACCTTACCTTACCTAACTTAACCTTAACATGCCTTACCTAACCTAAATTTAAAATGCATAAAGGTTAAAATGCAAAATAGTGGCATTCTAAATTACATTTATATATCATGAACAGATTTATAGATATGTTGGAGAAAAGATTATAAAAAGTTGTTATCTCTGCAAATGTATTTTTTAAAAAAGAAATTAAAATTTTTCTGGAGAACTTAATTATTTGTCATGTGTATTGTGGCTTTGTTAGGTTAGGTTAAGTTAAGTTAGGTTAGATAGGGTGACGTTAGGTTAGATAAGGTAAGGTAAGATTAGGTAGGGCTAGGTTTTGTTACGGTAAGATACATTTCACTAATTTTGCAGCAAAAAAATCACTATTGAATGTATTGGATAAAAAACTTATGAACATATTTATTTTTCTAAGAAAAAATGCTTTACCACTTAGGTATTATTTAACTCTGAGTCATGGGTACATCTTGGATACTTGGCAGAATAACTGGTTATAACTTGGTCCGAGCAAAGGTGGAGTCTAGGCAACCCCTTGCATATGCAAGTAAGAAGTTGTTACCCCAGGAGAGAAGATACGCCGTTATTGAATAGGAATATTTTACCATTACATGGGGGGTACAGTAGTTTTCAGGGCACTGTATTTGTACAGAAGATCTTTTATTCTTGAGACATCACAATCTATTTGCATATTTGCTATCTTTCAACAAACGTAATGATATGTTAATCCAGTGAGCACTTATTTTGCAACCCGATGTGTTTAGTGTTATGTTATACTGTAAAAGGTTCTGATAATTTGTATGCATTTTTTAAGTCAAATGGAGACAGTGGAAACACAGTATTTACTGTATATCAAGAAAATTTGCAATTTTCTTATCTGTGGTGGAAGGTTTGCCATAGTTGGAATTCTCCAACTAGATATCTGGCAGTTTAACAAAATTTTTGTACCGATCAGTCACCTTCTTTCCCGTATATAATTGCCAACTAGACATGATACTGACAGCTCTGTCCTCTTGTTCCACACCACTGTAAAGTATGTATACTGTATACAGTACTTAAAATATAAATGTAAAAAATAAATAAATAAATAAATAAATAAAATAAATAAAATCAATAAATATCGAAGTGATAACAGTGGTAACATGATAATATGTTCTTATTACCACCATGCTATGTGTACTATTGCAGATGATACTAAATGTTACAGAATACTTCCTTGAGATAAATGTACTGTACAGGTACTATATATATCATGGAATTTTCCAGGTAATGAAAAAATGTTCTTGAAGTTCCAGAAATTGCCCATTACATTAAATCCTTGCTATTCGCAGGTTTGCAATTCGCGATTTTGACTATTCGTGGTAAGCACATGGTGGCTAGTTTATGAGCCTCTCCCGCAGTGCAACGATGCAGCATCTCTTGTGTTGTGTGAAATGGACCCTAAAAGACTGCCTAGTATCAATGCTAGTGATGCTAGTGGAGTGAAACATAAAAGGCATAAGTCAGTGATGACCCTGACAAAGAAATTTGAATTACCTGTATTAGATAAGTTAAAGAAGGGGAGGAGTGCTGCCGCAGCTGGTCAGGTGTTTGGTATAGGTATACAGTAGTGCACTAAGGTAGTATAAGTTGCTATTCATGGTTTTGCCTATTCGTGCCATTCCTTGGAACCTATCCCTCATCTCTCAAAACTGGAAAAAAATCCCTCATCCCCGGAATTTTCCGGGTAGCGGAAAACTGTTCTCAGAAGATCCAGAAATTGCCCATTACATCATTTCTCAAACCTGGAAAAATATTCCCCATCCCTGGAATTTTCCAGGTACTGGAAAACTTTTCTCAAACCCGGAAAAAAATCCCCAGAATTTTCCGGGTATCGGGAAAATTTTCTCGTAATTTTCCGGGAAAAGTACCCCTCAGAAAATTCCAATACCAGCTATTGGAGAGTTCCGGGTTTGAGGGATTGCGGCTAATGGAGATATTACTTTTTTGGGTTTGTGCCACGTCAACTGGACCTGCTTTCTAAATGGTGGACCGACCTGGAAATAAGACACTGGCCTTGGCAATGTGTGTGTATGTGTGTGTGTGTGTGTGTGTGTGTGTGTGTGTTGGATACTAGATACAGACTTCATAAGAGCAATCTCTACACCTGATCTTCCTCATCAGAGGACAACAAGTGCAAGGGGAGGATTGGGCAATTATTTTATTAAAAACACAAATAAAATTACCTCAGCTACCATAACAGGGTGTTAGTCAAATCACTGAAATCCCTATTATGGCATGTAGTGTACAGTAATGAGAATTGCTAGCTGGCTAAAGGGCATGTACCAGAAATGTCCCTATTAGAGCAGGTTTACAGTACCTGAAGTTCCAGGTCATGTGCTCCTCTCGAACTACCAGCTGGAGTTTGTCGAATATGATCTTCCAGCTGCATGATGATCTTCTGCCTGAACGACCATGATTTCCAATCTTCTGCCATCACTTTCTACTCCTGCAACAAAACAACACATTGTTAAAAAAAAAAAAAAAATACAGATTATAAAAACTTCAACACATCACTGTACAATACAACTTTATCTGGACTATTCACTTATTATACAGTACAGGTATTCCTCGACATACGACATACTCGACTTACGACAACCCGGACATACGACCGCCGTGGTCGTATAAAATATTTTTCACATTACGTACAGTGGTCCCTCGGTTAACGAACACAATTCGTTCCAGAAGGTCGTTCGTTAACCGAAAATTTCATTAACCGAAACTATTGTTTCAATGGGATTTTGGGTAATTGGTTCCAGCTCACCGAAAATAAATGCAGTTAAGTACACTTACTTTGAGGTGTGCATGTAGAAGACTCCTGGTTGATGATGATGATGATGGAAATTAGAATGGGGGTGGAGGAGAATGGAGAAGAGAAGGCATTGGGGTGGAAGAGAAGTCACCCCATGGTGCCATTTCACCCATAAAATTTTAGTTCACTTGGTGTAATTCAAGATTATTTTCTTTAAATCAACACTGCACTGCATTATACATTGTCAATGTGTAAAATAAACTTCAGAATGACCAATAATTGTACTGTAAAAACGAAAAAATAGTTAATGTTCAAGAGAGTCTCAAGCAAGAAGCTTCCTCCACTGAGCAGGGACACACACTGACGCCATTTTGGGTGTGTTGTGCGGCTGTTTGGCAAGCTAAAAACTAGTTCCCTGGACTTCAATTATGTTAAATAATTGTTGAAATGACTAAAAACTTTAATATAAGACTTGGAAAATTATTGAATAGTACAACCTTCTTGATATTTACTCAAATGGTAACGAATTTAAGCCCTAAGACCGATTACTGTATTGATGGACTAATACTACAGCTGGTGAGCAGGCGACATGTTGGGAAAAATTCGTAAAGAATTCATTAACCGAAATTTTTTCGTTAACCGAAGTGAAGAATCTTATGGAAGGTAATTCATTAACCGAAATTTTGTTAACCGAGGTGTTCGTTAACTGAGGGATCACTGTATTTTCGAGTCCTGACGTTAGTGATCGCGCTGTGTACTGACAAAATTTTTTTGGTAAATCCCTTTAAAATGGCTGGCAAGCGAAATGTGAGAGTTCTCGTGGTGCTGAGAAGAAAAAGACACACCCATTTTAGAATTTCTATGTATTATTTTCGCCTTTTCGACTGACGACCAATTCGACTTACGACCTGGTTGTCGGGACGGAACCCCTTCGTAAGTCGAGGAGAGACTGTATTGTACAGTACAGGTAAACCTCTACGTATTTACAATATCTGAATCTACGATAATTCGCGTAAATGATGCTGATATATTACGACCACTTCCCTATTTGCAATGTAAACAAACTAACATTAATTATATTCGTCATACCACCAACTCACCAAGTTGGAATATGGAACACATCACTCATTTCATTTGTCAGCTAAGGCATCATCTACCCAAACGCCGCCTTGTGGCCATCTGGTGAACCACAGTCCAGCCATTGTTACTCCTTGGTTACACATGTGTAAGAAATGGAGCTCAATGTGTATTAGTTATCTTCAGTTTTTAATTGATCTTACAGTGAGAGGACATCACTAAATTTCACAGTGTACTCTGTTTTAGTGACATTGCATCAGATCACTAATATTAGACCACTAATCCCTCCTCCCCACCTCCACCACAAATGAGAAAAGAGTTTCTATACCATGTGCGGACTTGACATTGCATCAGGTTAGGTCAGTAACATGAGACCCACGACCCACTAATCCCCTACCACACGTCCATCGCCTATGTGTCAAGATGTAATAAGTGATTACAGTGACCCCTCTGTTAACGAACTCAATCCGTTCCAGAAGGTCGTTCGTTAACCGAAAAGTTCGTTAACCGAAACCATTGTTTCAATGGGTTTTTGGGTAATTGGTTCCAGCTCACCGAAAATTTCCTAAATTCAACAAAAATGGTAGAAAAGTTCACTTACTTTGAGGTGTGTATGTAGAAGGCTCCTGGATGATGATGATGATGGGATTTAGAATGGGTGGAGGAGAAGGAAGAAGAGAAGGCATTGGGGTGGAAGAGAAGTCACCCCATGGCACCATTTCACCCATAAAATTTTAGCTCTCTTGGTGTAATTCAAGATTATTTTCTTTAAATCAACACTGCACTGCATTATATATTGTCAATATGTAAAATATATTTCAAAATGACCAATAATTTGCTTGGAAACACAGAAAAAAAGCGTTTAGTTGAAGAGAGTCTCAAGCAAGATGTTACCTCCAGTGAAAACAGAGAGACTAACTCCTGTTTGCTGTGTTAAGAGGCTGGATGCCGCGCATTAAACTAGTCACTTTACCTTCAATTATGTTCAATAATTGTTAAAATGACTAAAAAATTGAATATTAAACTTTTAAAATTATTGAATAGTATAAACTTCTTGATATTTACTAAAATAGTAAGGAACTTAAGCCCTAGAACCGATTAATGTATTGGCGGACTGATACTAAAGCTGGTTGCCCGGTCAGTGCAAGCGAAAACATGTTGAGGTCGGTTCGTAAGAACTTCGTTAACCGAATTGAAGATCCTTATGGAAGGCAGTTCGTTAATCGAAATTACGTTAACCGAGGTGTTCGTTAAACGAGGGGTCACTGTACAGTTACTTAAGTATTACATGTACATTCAGGAGATTGGACAGTACTGTATATAGTATACTCCTCCAGTAGGTTCAAGATGACAGCAGTAATGTACATTACTTTGTTTATTTATAATATATTGTACGTGTACTGTGGTGTTTGCATAAATAAATACAGCTCTTGTGTTAGTTTGTGTGGGATCGTCGGTTAGATTCGGGAAAACAGACTCACACGACTCTGTTCATGAGGCTCCTGTATCATATATATTTTGAGTTTTTTAAATATATTTATTTAAACAACCTTCCAGATAAATTATTCAGAATTATTTTAATATAAAATGGTGTTTCTAACTTAATTAGAATTATTTTATAGACTCCAGTATCAACATTCCTTACGTTTTTTTTTTAATAAAACAACTGAGTCCCCATCATTATGTTGTCAAAATATTTAATTTAAGGATCTTTTATTGAAAAAGTCTTGCAGAGAATTCATTCAGGATCATTATAGTATTCAATTCATCTCTCTAACACAATTAGAACAAATGCTGTTTGCTAGGGTTAAGAGGTGGTGGAGAGGGAGGGACAGAGTGACCCTCGCTCCCTCAATTGACCCCATTCTTGAAGGGGTCTGTCCCTCTCCCTCTGCTGCCTCTCACTCATTTCTCTAACACTATAAGAGAAGAAGTTATGAATAAAAGTTTATACTCTTTTTTCCTAGCCATAAATATATTTGTTACTTAGCTTTCATCTTTATTCAAGACATCTTCAGGTCAAGACCCACTAATCCTCCACCCTGACAATGGGTGATCTGACATTTATCATGTCACTAATCTCCCACCTCATCTCCACCTGACATTAATCAGGGCAGGTCAGTAATTCCTTACCACACCTCCATCGCATCATTTCTTAAATTTTGTTCATAAAACAAATGAGTCCCCATCATTATTATCATGTTTTTGTCACTGAAATGAGCAGTGTAATTTTGAAAATGTCTGGGAAGGCCAAGGCACCCAGGAAAACCGTGTCTCTGGAGGTGAAGCAGCATGAGACTCCCCAGAGGCTGAGTGGGAGTCAGTGTGATGTCTCCACTCCACCTTCAAGAGTCCCCTTAGCCTTAAAGGGGATATGTAATGATGACCAGGCTTGTTCTTAATGATGTGGTGAGTGTTGTTTAATTGTAATGCAATGCTAGTAATATCCTAAGTGTGGTTTTTTCAGTGATATATATGGGTGTCTGACTGACCAGTAACCTATTCCACTCAACCCCAAGTTAAAATTAACTTGATTTACAATATTTTGACCTGCGATTGGATTTTAAGGAACCTAACCCCATCACAAATAGAGGTACAGGGGGCCCCCAAGTTCGTGGATTTTTACTTCGTGGTTATTCGCGGATGACACCCTGGATGAACCCAAGAATGTCTGTGGATAGTTTTAAGGTTGCCGGCATTTTTGCGGCTGGGACAGGGAGCCATTCGTTCTAGAGACAGTAATTTCCTTTACCTGTATTGTAAATATGTGGGTGGGTGTGTGTCGACTCTCCACACACACACACACAGTATACAATACTACAGGTAAAAGAAATAATTGTCTTATTGCAAACACGTAAAGGGAATATACATTTCTTTGTACACAAGTAAAAATGTACCCCCCGTCCGCAAATGTTAATCGCGGATTTGGCGACTCGTGGCCATTTTGAGAACCTAACCCCAGCAAATTTGGGGGACGCCCTGTACATCAATTTCCTTACATTTAAAGCAGTGGCATTGAGAGAATTTTTTCACTCATCAGTACTCTTTCAATTGTTAAAGATAATTTAGCAAAAGTATATGCATGTCCAACACAACTGTGTACCAGTACAGTAAATCACTGATAACTCAGAGTTATCAAGGCACTTTCCTCCTGGTCTGGTCTTTCATCTCACCCCAATACCCAACTTTTTGGCCAAAGTAACCTACCATAATCAGAAAACTTGAAAAACAAAATAATGCTTACCAGCACTGCAGGAGAAAGATGAGGATAAATCAAGCTTGTGGTAGGTGTCAGATGATGGGGGGCTCACTGCACTACAGTACAGTATTGTATATATAGAAAGCACTTACAACACCAACTTTACCAGAAAATGCCTGGGAGATGTTGATGGAACCAATGTGAGAGAGAGAAGGATGCCAGACTTAGCACCGAGAGCAGTTACTTTTCAACTCGTAATTTCAGGTAGACATTAAGTAAATTTCTTCATTTTTATTACTTTGTTACATGCACACACAATCTTTCATACAGAATGTGCAACAAAAAATAAAACAATAATTATTAAACGGTAAAAAACATAAATGGAAGAAATATTTCTTACGCGTGCCAGAGACATAAC